CGCGGTGAACAAACATTTGTAATAATCTTCAAATGCGGCTCTTATTTCACATGTGTGTGCAAAGGGAACCCCATGACTCAATTTGCAGTATCTGTTTAGAAAGCGCATATCTCTTTTCATCCCCGAGGTATTTTTAGTGGGTTCCTCTTCAGTGAAATGGGTAACACGGGAACAAATCTTAGCTCCTCTCTATAAATCTGTATCATGTTTTTGTATCTGTGATCCCATTTATCTCGTCCCCGTACAATCCCGGCTGTTAACTTTCAAAAGTATGAAGCTTATGAAGTAATTCATAAAGATAGCGCTTTGAAGCTTTTTTTCTTTGCGCTATTTCGCATGAAATACTAATTTACTGATGCTTGACTCTTTCTTTGAACCTTTCCCATTGAGCGAAAATTGGCAGCTGTCGACACTGTGTTACCTCTTGTACCGATTCTTTTACTATTTTAACAAAACAATCATCGTGAAACAACTGTACGTTGAGCTTCCATAGGTCCCAGTTAAGAGGGGTTTTAGGAAAATTTTCAGGACCCCAAGAAACAGTGACCAAGCAATGGTCTGTAAAAAATATGGGCTTTGCAGCATAATTATGAATGTGAGACCATAAGCTTAGAGATACATATACACGGTCAAGGCGAGCATGAGAGATGCCTTGAGAGTGCGTGAACCTCACCGAGGAAGGTGCATGAGCTCCCACATCTATTAAATTGTGGTCATTCAATAGTTTCTGCAATAAGGCTGCACTTGCATCATAACGATTTGTTATATATGAATCATCTCTATCGTCACAAACACAATTAAAGTCTCCAAAAACTACCAAAGTTCTCTCAGTGTTTAGTAGCGAAGTTAAAGAAAGAAAAAAAATTCCTTTCATTCACTTTGGGGGGAGCATAGACACAGATAAACCTCTCATTATGGGAATGAAAAGATAAGTCACAACAAATGAGGCGTCCTTCCCCATCAGCATGTAGTGACGTCAAAATATGATTCAAGTGCTTTCTAACTAATAAAAAGCACCCAGCGGATGCACCACGTGCTGGGCTAATGTATAAATTGTAATCACGGAAACTTCCAGTGCAAGATCGGCGTCACGAGCAGCGGAAATCTTAGTCTCTCGCACTGCAAGTACATCAATGTTGTACTGCTCAAGCACATGGAGCAACTGACACGGACGCCTTACATTCCTCATGCCACGTACGTTGATTGTCGCTACACACACGGCAAACGTTAGCGCGGTAGCCATTTTGCTATCTTAGAACTTTTGTAGGTCACCTTTAGCCAAAGGGCAACCTGTGGCTTTACCTCCTTTGCACTTTTTATAAGCACTTTCCTCAGGACGCTGGCATTGGCAGCGCATCTCTCGGTCCCCAAAGAAGGTGACACGTGGACCACACGAAGACACTTGCTCTGTCGTGTCTGGCACACTCGTTGTTGCTTTATCGGTGACCGGTGCCTGACGCTTTCCTTGTCTTACTGCTATCCATTCCTTCTTGTTCCTCATTGTCAGGAAGCTTGTCTTTAAGGCCTTCCAAGTGGTGTTCGTCTGCAGCATTGCATTTATTTATGCTTTCACTGGCGTCAAGGCTTGTCTTTAAGGCCTTCCAAGTGGTGTTCGTCTGCAGCATTGCATTTATTTATGCTTTCACTGGCGTCATTAGCCGTGTTATTTTGCGTGCCAAGGGTATCTATCAACAAGTGTTCAGCTTCCTTTAAGGCACGTTCTGATCCCCCGCTGCTTCTCCTGTCGCATCAACTACCTCAGTGACATCCGTAAGATAATCCAGACGTTGCTCTTCTGTGCCTTGGCCAGAAGGGAGTTTGTTGGCATAAGTCGACACGCAGGCATCCGACGAGTGACCAAAACGCTGGCACTGAAAGCTCCTCGGTGTTTTGCACTGTCGTCGTACATGCCCCACTCGCTTGCACCGAAGACACTGTGGAGGCCTACCGGGAAGAAGTACGAGGCATCGGTGGCCATAGATTGACATAAGGTGTGGTATTGAGCTCACAGTGATGGTGTCCTTGAGCTCCAAGGCAACGTCTCTATTTGTTGTCATCCATTGTTTCATTCCTCCACATCTCCATGCCTCTCTTTCAACGGACTTCCAACGCCGTAAGCTTGGAATGCCTCTTGAACACGTCACGATTTAGGATGAGGCGGAAGCCAAAGAAGTTTCAGCCTAATATTTTTGGTCTCTGGATCTAGAACCATGCTAGGTCCTCTTCAGCCCTTTTACACGGAGCTCACCACAACTGAGGAGTTTCTGTTTCGCCATGCTGCTTGGACACGTAACCATTCATACATGGCTCATTTGATACTGGCCAACTCCTATAATGTCCGCTGTGCTCACCACTTTAAGCAGCGCGTCACGGAAGTCTGGGGCACGGTACGGCCTACCACTCAAGTCGCCATGAAGGAAAACAAAATTCAAAACGTCGTTACCAGTTGGAAGACGTGGCAGGACGACTTTATAGCTTGAGTCTTCATCATGAAACGGAGTCGATGATCCTCCGTCCTACCACCGACTCTCGCGTTTGCAATGACAACTTCAGCTGTTCATTCGGTGAACGCATATTGTAACGACGTGCAGAGAGTGACAGTAAATAGTTCGTTTCATTCATGTTATGTCTGCATTGGCTGGCACACACCAAATCAAGCGGCCTTAATAGAAGCCACCACGATAGAATAGAATACTGACGTCGATCTCAACAGGATTTGCCAGTGAAGATCTGCATACTCTTTCTTCGTTTATATATATATATATATATATATATATATATATATATATATATATATATATATATATATATATATATATATATATATATATATATATATATATATATATATATATATGCTTGGTGGTTGAGTGGCCGTAGCGTTGCGTATAGTCCAGCAGATCCTCCGTGAGCGGTCACAACGTGGTTTATTTCGACGTTTCAGCCTAGAGTCTGGCCTTCATCAGGATTAAAGGTACAGTTTGTTGGTGCTCAGCTATATACAATCTCAAATCAGAGGGAAAGGAAAGAGGAAAAAGAAAAAAAGAAAAAAACAGAAGAAAAAAGAAAGAAAGAGAAAAAAAGAATATAAAGTGCACTCCCCTCGAGTGCCCCCCTTCCACTCTTCCTTCCACTTCCCCCTCATCTCTCTCCCCCTTCTCCCCTTCACCTTTCTGATGTCAGTGGTCTGTGTATGCTTCCTTTCACTAACGCATTCTTCCCGACCAGACGGCGCCTCCTGGCACTGGCGGTTCTGTGTGGGGCAAAAAAGAGCTTTTTTTAAGAAGTTCTAAGCCTTTAACTACTCAGGGCTCTGTCAACATTTCGTCGTAGAAAGAGGGGTACCGCGTATTGGGGCAGAGGCTGGTAAGCGGTCATTTTAGGAAAATGCCCGCTTACCAGCCTAGTGAGTGAGTGAAACAACTTTATTGACGATCCGGCATGAAGGGGGAAGGGGTAGGCGGATTAAAGCGAGACACTAGCGTGCTCGGAAGTCCCGGAGCAGCAACCTACTCGCGTCAAGCCCGTGGGGCGCCGCTTTCGGCCGCTGGCGTTCCAGGATGCTAAGCACGTGCTGGACCACGTCTCTTTGATTGCTTGGCTCACGGCTGATAATTTTGCTGCTTATGGCAGTTGGCATTACTTCTTGGTTACCCGGCGGTGGTGCCAAGTCCCAAAGGAAGTGTCTCTGGGTGGCTCGCGCCTTCTTGCAGTATTGGCATACATCAGTGGTGTAAACCTCCGGGCAAACGTGCTTTGCCCAGACGGGGGTTCATATTGCTTGTACTTGCAGCTGCCGTAGTGTTGCTGCTTCTCTGCGCTGTAGGTCTCGGTGAGGCGGTGGGTAGAGGCGTCTGCTCGTTCTGTACCACTGCAGAACGTCAGCGTAGGTTGTGATAAAATACTCTCCGTCTTCGACATCGGGTCGTTGCGGCTCCGAGGAATGCGTTGACAGAGACCCGCGGCTAGTTAGCGCGTGTGCCTCCTATCTGCCTCCTCGTTGCGGTTCGGGCCCACGTCCAGCTCCCCGGCCTGCGCAGGGAACCACTTGACGGTAATGTTGGTTTCCGGTCTTGCTATAGTTGAACATACTCTTTCAGTGGTTCCATGGACGTTGTTTGTAGCAAAGTTGGCTATTGCCGTCTTTGAGTCGCTGAGGACCATGCGGCAATCCGGGATCGCTAGTGCCAGTGCGATTGCAAACTCCTCGGCATGCATGGGCGACTTGCACCGTATGCTTCCCGACGTTGTGAGTACTCCAGTGTCTGCTGTGTAGACTTCTGCTGCGTACGTGTTTGGCTGGTGGGGATACTTCGTCACGTCCACGTAGAACGCGCGCGGATCGTTGGCGTGACCTTTTGCGAGGGCCATGGCTCTCGCCGTTCTTCTTCCTTGGTGTACTTGTTGATGCATGTGCTTCGGTAAGAGTGGAACCCTCAGTCTTTGGAGAACGTCCCGGGGTAGCTGCTTTGCTACCTCCGGAGTCGTCGCTGGCGCGTTGATTCCGATGCGCTGTAGTATCGTTCTTCCCGTCCTGGTCTGGGACAGGCGGTGATACTGCGCCGTTCGCTGGGCTTCTGCGATTTCTTTCAGCGTGTTGTGAACGCCCAACGCGAGGATGCGTTCCGTGTTGGTGTGGGGGTATAAGCCAAGGGCCGTCTTGTACACCTTTCTGATCATCGCGTCAATTTTGATCTTCTCCGCCGCTTTCTAATTGTGTAACGACGCTACGTAAGAGATGTGGCTGACTGCAAACGACTGGGTGAGTCGTAGTAGACTGTTTTCTCGCATGCCCTGGTACCACGTGGACACCTTCTTGAGTAGGCGGGCGGCCAGCGAAAGCTTTGCGTGGAGCTTCTGTACCGTCACGTTGTTGCGGTTGAAGTCCTGGAGGTGCAGCCCCAAATCTCTGAGCGTCTGCACGTGCGGTATCGGCGTTCCGTCTTGGGTTACCATGTTGATGTTCTCCGTTGTCGGGCGTCGCGCATTTCGCGGTGAGATCACCAGCAGTTCGACTTGGTTGGTGACCATTTGAGTCCGGTGGGTCGTAGGTGTTCTTCTACGGCGGCGAAGGCTTCTTGGAGGGCTGCCTCGATCTGGCTGTCGCTTCCTCCTGTTGACCACAGCGTGATGTCGTCCACGTAGATCGTGTACTTGATGTTTCTAACGCGTTCCAATCTTCTTGCAACGCCTATCATGACAAGGTTGAACAACAGAGGGGAGATCACCGAGCCCTGCGGTGTCCCCGTGCTCCCCAGCTGCTTGAGCGGTAGTTGTAGTTCTCCTGCCACAAGCCGCGTGGTGCGGTTGGTCAGGAAATCTTTGATGTAAGTGAACATCCTCTCCTCCATGTTGAAGTGGGACACCTGCCGAAGGACGGCCGAGTGGTGTACGTTATCGAATGCTCCCTGGAGATCTAGTTCGAGCACCGCTCTGTTATCCAACGTGGAAAAGTGTCTGTCCACGATTTCGTTCTTGAGCAACAGCAGGGCGTCCTGGGTACACAGTTTGGCTCGGAACCCCAGCATTGTATGTGGATATATGTTGGATTCTTCCAAATAACGTTGCCATCTGTTGAGTAGGACGTGTTCAAGCACCTTGCCCACGCACGACGTTAGAGAGATGGGTCTCAGGTTGTCTATGCTGGGTGGTTTGCCCGGTTTGGGGATCAGGACCGTTTTTGCGGTCTTCCATTGTTGCGGTAGCTTGCCCGTCCGCCAGCACTGGTTGTAGTGCTTGGTGAGGGCTTCGATTGCCGTGTCGTTCAAGTTCCTCAATGCCTTGTTGGTGACGTGGTCCGGTCGGGATGCCGATTTACAGTTGATTACTTCTAGAACCGCTCGCACTTCTCATTCTTCGATGTCGGCATCTAGTCTCTCATTGGTTGCCCCTTCGTAGCTGGGGAGTGGGTCCGTTGGCGTTACGGGAGATACTTGGCGTCCAGGCGTCGTTGCACCTCAGCCTCTCCCATTTCTTTGACGGCTTTGTGAATTGTCTTGTTCAGCATGTAATGCTGAGCTCTCTTGGTTGTCTGATTGTTGAGCAAGTGGCGTAGCAGGCGCCACGTCTTGCCTTTGTGTAGTTGACCGTCCGCTTCTTGACACGCCGCGTGCCACTGATGTCTGCAGAGGACAGCGCTGTGATGCTCGATGTCTCATTTGAGTTGTGTTATACGTTTGCGTAGCTTTCTGTTGTGGCGTTGACGTTTCCAGCGCCGTATCAGCGAGTTGCGGGCTTCCATGAGGTGCGCTAGTCTGCTGTCCAGCATCGTAGCCTGCGGCTGTGCTTCTACCGTCTGAGTGGCGTCTTTGGTCGTGGCGTTCAACATGTTGGTCCATACTTCTATGTTTTCAATGGTTTCCGTAACGTTGTCTTCTAATTTCTTTCTGTACTCGTGCCAGTCGACGATTTGCGGTTGCTGTGCTCTTTGCGTGTTCTCTGCGATGGGTATTGTAATTTCGAGTATGCAGTGGTCACTTCCCAACGTCTCCCCGGTGTTCCGCCACGTGACTCCACGCAGTGCTGAGGCCGTGCTTATGAAAGCAAGGTCCAGGTTTGTGTCTCACTGCGACGACGTTCCGTTTCTCGTAGGTGCGTTGGGGTCGTTTAGCGATTGGTAACCTGCGTCCATTGTTTCGTCGTAGAGACTGTGGCCCTTCACCGTCGTGTATGGATACCCCCATGCCGTATGTTGAGCGTTGAAGTCTCCACACAGTAGGGTTACGTTGGAGCCCGCGAGCTGTTGCGCTTTGTGCACAAGGGTGCCGAATTTTTGCTGGAAGTGCTTCGGATTGCTGTACACGTTGATTATAAAAGTGCTTTCACGGTGCTTGCGCTTGCCGGTGACGATTTCTACCGTGCTGTGCTCGATGGCGCCGTTGGGTAGCAGTTCGTGATCTATTGAAGTTAGATTCTTCTTTACCAAGGTGCAGACCCCCTGCCTTGCGCCTTTCCCAACTGTTCGTGCGCTGGGGGGCTTCGCAAAGGATCTGTACCCTGGTAACGTCGGTGGGGTTTCACTGTGCGTCTCTTGTAGTATTATAACGTCGGGTCTCTTGGTGCTTTGTTTTATGTACTGTTGTAACGATGCTTTTCTCCCCTGTATGCCGTTGGGATTCCATTGCCATATGAGGAGATGATGCTGTTGTGTCTGTGCTCTGTTTCTGTGGTTAGCGGTGCCTGTGTCTGTGCTCTGTTTCTGTGGTTAGCGGAGCCTAGGAAAATGCCCGTTTACCAGCCTCTGCCCCAATTCGCGGTACCCCTCTTTCTACGACGAAATGTTGACAGGGCTCCGAGTGCATTAGTGAAGAATGCGTTAGTGAAAGGAAGCATACACAGACCACTGACATCAGAAAGGTGAAGGGGAGAAGGGGGAGAGAGATAAGGGGGAAGTGGAGGGAAGAGTGAAAGGGGGCGCTCGAGGGGAGTGCACCTTATATTCTTTTTTTTCTCTTTTTTTCTTCTTTTTTTTTCTTTTTTCTTTTTCCTCTTTCTTTTCCCTCTGATTTGAAATTGTATATATCTGAGCACCAACAAACTGTACCTTTAATTCTGATGAAGGCCAGACTCTAGGCCGAACCGTCGAAATAAACCACGTTGTGACCGCTCACGGAGGATTTACTGGGCTATATATATATATATATATATATATATATATATATATATATATATATATAGAGAGAGAGAGAGAGAGAGAGAGAGAGAGAGAGAGAGAAAGCGAATAGTGAAACAAAGGCCACAATAACTATTATTTCTTTTATCCTAACAGTTTCGGCTGACGCAATGATCCAATTCGTGTCAAAGGACCGTCCAACCAGCTTGCCAGTCACAAAAACTAAATCAAAACTGAAAAAAATTGTGGAGAAAGAAATACCGAGGCAAGTAACAGTGACAATTGCTTTGTTAAGGGGTTCATCAAAAAGCAATAGAAAAGCGAAAAAAAATGAAGTGAAGTGAATTTATTGCCACATAGATCAAAACATCTTTAAAACACAACGATGGTGGGTTAAAAGCTGCATGTAGGCAGCTTGGCTAGTCTCAGAACAATAGGAGCAAATATTACAAGCATTCTTACTTGTCAAAATAGTAACGTAGAAATATACAAAGCAAAGCAATAACAGGAGAAGCAAACAAAAATCTGCAAGAAACACAGATTTTCAACAAACCCATTCATAAACAACAAAAAATGGTATTCATAAAATTAGTTGAAACATTGTCTTTTTAGAAATATGACGTATGTTGTCATCACGCAGTTTATATTTGTTTAGTATTGTAAGAAGGCAATAGGAAAATGTTTGATAACCGTAGTATGGTCGTGAAACTGCCCAATGTTCGTTGTGTTGGTTTAAGCGATACGATTGATTTACTGATAAATTCACGATGTTCCTCATATAAGTACTGCCCTTAATCGTTTCATGTTTAAAAGAACGTGAAAGCTGATACTCACAAAAGTGGTGGACTTAGATAATTTTAAACTTCTAAAATAGGTCAAGCGTGTGTTCATTATAAGGTACATCAGCAATAGCCCGTAGGGCTTGCTTCTGTAGCCTTACTAGATGCTCTAATGATTGTTTAGTGCTGTTTGACCAAATGAGGTGACAACAGCGCAGAGGCAAAGCAAGTTGTGCATTTTATACAATCAGTTTTTGTTCTATTGGTAGCAGTTTCTGGCATCTGCACAGCATACCCAAGGCCTTGCAAAGGTTAAATTTTATATTATACAGTATGGTGGTCTCAACTTGCCAGTTCATGAAAAATGACAACCAATGTTTTAGCTGACGCGTAGAGTACTACTTTTGAGTCATTGAGCGTAAGACACTTTGTGAGATTGCAAGGCGTAGATTTCACCCTAAACAGTACTCCTTTTGTCTTCGAGCAATTGAGCTGAAGTGAGCTTTTTACCGACCAATAATAAATATGTTTAGTACTTCATTAGCCAGATGTATAGGTTCATTATCCATAATTCCTGGAAGGACGAAACTGTTGTCAGTCGCGTAAATAATGTAGTTAACTGAATCATCAGCATTCACAATATGATTTATATACATATATAACAAAAAAGTGGGCCCAGTATGCCACCCTAATGCACACCCTACCCAATAGGTTTTAACAAAAAGTAATGTCTATTCATTGTCATCATCATCATCATCATCATCATCAGCCTGACTACGTCCACTGCAGGACAAAGGCCTCGCCCATGTTCCGCCAGTTACCCCGGTCCTGTGCATGCTGCTGCCAATTTATACCCACAAATTTCTTAATCTCATTTTCCCACCTAACCTTATGTCTCCCCCTAACCAGTTGGCCTTCTTTGGGGATCCAGTCAGTTACCCTTATTGACCAGCGGTTATCCTGTTTACACGCTACATGCCCGGCCCATGTCCTTTTCCTCTTCTTGATTTCAACTATGATATCTTTAAACCCGGTTTGTTCCCTAATCCACTCTGCTGTCTTCTTGTTTCTGAAGGTTACACCTACCATTTTTTTTCCATTGCTCGCTGCGTCGTCCTCAACTTAAGCTGAACCCTCTTTGTAAGTCTCCAGGTTTCTGCTCTGTATATTCGTTGATATGCATCGTTTTCTATCAGCAATGTAACTTCTAAATAAATCTAGAACGATTCCTGCGTATTGCCATAACAATTGAATTTATCCATAGGGTTGCATGATTTATTCTATCAAAAGCTTTTGAGAAATCTGAATACAATCCAAAAGTTACTTTCTTAGCCTCATTACTACACAATATATTTCTTTTTGCTTAAGAAGAGCAATTTCAATAAAACACCCTCATCTGAACCCGTATTGTGACGATGTTATTACGGTATGCTTGTCAGAAAAAGATGTCATTGTGAGTAGGATAACTTTTTCGGAAATTTTAGAAAACAAAGGGAGAATTATTATTGGTTTGTAATTGCCTAAATTATCTCTTTCACCACCTTTGGGTACCACAGTTACCCTTGCAACTTTCATCCGTCGTGAAAAATTGCCATACGTTAATGCCAAGTTGTGAATGTGAGTGAGGTAAGGCGTGATCAGGTCAATAACATGAAAGATTGGTTCGGACTTTAGCCTATACACATCCTCCCTTTTGCTTCAACTGAATTTTTTGAAAAGGCTTAGAATTTTGTTATCAGTTCATATCGACACAATGAGTGTGTGAGAGAGAATGTGTGAGATGTCAATGCTTCTTGATCACGAGTGCTTTCAGCCAATGATAGAAAATATTCGGCAAGTGTATTTTCAGGCGCTTTAGTTTTAAACCTCTCGTTTCCTACTTTAAGCTGATTAGCAGTAGAGACGGGCCGTGATCGCGACAGGACAGAATACAGCTTATTCTACATTTGTTTTGTATTCACAATGCCATTAAAGATGAAAAAATAATAGCCATGTTTGGCCTGTTTAGGCAACTTAGTCAAGTGTATATGGAATGTTTTAAACACTTTAAACACGTGACGGTCACAAATAGACAGGAATAAATGCTAAAAAGCCGTCTTTTTCTTTATCAAAAGAAGCAGCTTAGAGGATATTCATG